AATTAAGGTATGCATTCATTGACATGATTAATGCGGAATAAAAGGATGACAATTTCTGTAAATGATTATTCAGTAAAACAATTTATATATGCCACCAATTTAAGTTACATTGATATGAAATATAGATTTTTGTTCCGAAAAATCGGATTCAGGTTAACAAATTCATTACAGTAGATTAAGCTAATCAATCACAAGCTTGAACGCTTGAAACGTTCTTTCAAGAACAAGGGCAAAATCATCTTCTGATACATGATATCGAGAACATCATGTTAAGGTCACTGGTTAAAAAAAAACCGTGCGCAACGTGTATATGTTACTGTAGAAAAAAGGTAGTAACTTCATAAAAATGTTAAGTAAAACATCTACACGATCGGGTTTTTCATCGTCATTTATAAGGGGTTTTGTGAATGTTAGGTGTCCAGAATCAAGACGGGAGATTCTTATCGTCCAGTTTATGTTAATACCAAAAAAGAGAGGAACGTGTTAGTGATTTTCTGAAATCTCTTCCTTCGTACATATGTTGGATTCCACGATTTGCTGTTCATTCAGAGTTCTACAGTAAGACATTCCAAATATTTTTTTTTCATATCAGACACATTTTTTACCCTATTTCTGTTGGAATAACAACATATTTGTCGTCAAGAGAGGATTAACTTTCCGAAATCTACTGCCCAAAGCATTGATCCATTAAGATAAAGTATCCAGTTTATTTTTATTTGACTCGCCCTTAATCCATTTTCTGGCAAAGTCTTCAACTGCATACGCCAGTAACCAGAAATGTTCGTTTATCCGATTGGCTTGGGAAATCTATATTTCGGCCTTTGGACTAGCAATTCTGTAAGTTTTGTTTTTGCTCACGGTATCAAGGTCCATTGTTATATCATAAGTAGCGACGGGTCTATATATGTATGCGGATGATGAACAAGAAAAGGCGACAGGATAGGATTTAACATTCTTCAGGTTAATGGTCTCGTATTCACTCATATTGATAGCATCAAAACCCTTATAAGCAAACTACTTTAAAATTAAAGTTCCTCATAAAAAAATATTCTCTTTGTTGCAATATAATGTTCTTAATTTTTAGTCATTTGGTGAATGATAAATTTTCTTTATTTCTGACTTTTATGGAAAATTTATAATGGTCAGGCTGGTTTAAGTGTTTATAGAGAAATTTGTTATAATCAGAATCCGTCGATGAACCAGGATAATCTGACACGAACAAATTACAGACAAGGAATGGGTAATTACCTGTTATAAACGTGTAATATACATTCGAAAAAGTAAGTGGAAAACATCAATCAAGACCTAGAAAGTCATACAATTTTCTTTGAAGTTAAAAATTATAATAAGAGTTGATCATTATATTGATCGATTAGAGTTGGCGCCTGAAGGAGGAGTAGTTTCAAATAATCATCTTCAAGTTGTTGATCATAACATTGAACATTACTTTTCAAGCAGCTATTCCGAAACTCACTTTTGGTCCAATTAGAGGTCTGACCATGTGGCGATCAATTCTTTCTCCCACTCTAGAGATGTGGATACGATGGAGCTTATCGAAAATGCTGTTGTTACGTATTGCTGTGTCCTTCTATTTGGAGATCATATCTACTTGTCGGTTGATAGAATTTGTTGACCGGAATCAACCAAGGTTTGGATGATGAATCTGCATTTTGACGTTTGTTTGGAAAGTTCTATGTATATCCCGTCTATTTCATCTCTATGGACAAACTGTTGACCAGCTTATTCATCAAATCAGCATCATCTAATATAGAGACATAATGAGCCTCTGACAAACCACAAACATTGCACCATCCAGTTGTTCGTTGCATAGCGGTGTTAACCAAAGTATCACAAACGTTTTCCGTCTTCGTCTTCCCCCGACATTTTACACAGTGGATCATTATTCATTTAAATAAATCTACGAGAAGATATCTCATATATACAATGACACTGTCACAAAAATGCTCTTTCACTTCTTATTCCCTCATCGATCCACCAGAGTTTGACCAACAGGAAATCAGACTATTGTTAGACAACGCTATAGAACAAACTTATCCTTGTAACGTGATTATTATCTCTTAAACGTCATCTGAAATTCGCTTACTCAGCCAATCTATCAACTATTACATAAGGCTTCTCAGAAGGGATTTGTGAAAGAAGCCAAACGTGGATCTCTCTCCACCAATAAAGAATGCTTTTATCTGGAACCGAGCATCGTCGATATGACAAATGCATATGAGGAAGACACAACAACGACGAAGACGAAGAAAAATTACAAACCCAAATAAGATGTGTTTTGCCAAACCAAAGACATGTATAAATAAATGAAATAAAGTCTGATAACATATGCGCTTGGCTGTTGAAACAGTACTAACTAAAGAAGAGAGGTCAACATCATGAACGATCAAGATTATGTCCTGTACCTACCGGATTGTGAAGATATGTGAATCCGACAAATGTCCGGAAGGGTTTTTGATATGCCTTTACACTTCGTCACCATGAGAAGGATTTTGGAAATGGTTTCTTGTAAACGGTTCTTTGTAGCTGCAAGTATAAGTATTGATAAACGCTATGGAGGAATGGTGTTGATTCAATATAAGGTATCCCGACAGGAACAAAAGCTTTGTGCAAAACCTGTATGACAAAAGTTTAATATGAAGACATCAAAGGACACCAATGCAACCACACATGTCTCCACGCCAAGAACAAGGGTTGTTTCGCATACCCTGAAACAAAGAGGCGGAAGAGAGCCAGGGGACAATTAAATGTGTTAAGTCGATAAGAAACTGACAACAAAGAAAGAAAGACGACGAAAGGACAAACAAGTCCTCAAAACACGGCAAAGTTAACTAAATACTGAGCAACACAAACACTATCAAAACCTTGGGGTGATCACAGGTGCTCCCGAAGGAAAGGCCGATCTTGCTATACTAGTTTGACCCGTCATACTACTTATGGTTAGTACAAATTATGTGATAATTATCATTTTATGATGTTACAATCATGGAAAAGAAGACAGAAATGAACTTTAAGATGGCCAACTTTGCAATGCTGAGGAATTTATTGTGTTTTCAGCGCTAACACAATGGTAAGACGCGTTCACAAATATAAAGAGCTACCAATGCAATGCTATACGATATTAGTCAAATGCTATCAAAGCTAGTGGCGTCCATACAAAAGTTATAACATGAATAAAGCATCCCAAAGAAAGATTACCGAACAAAAGCAAGCGTTGTTATGATGTCAAAGCGCAGAAAGATATTGCTTTTCAAATCAACAAGATTATCCCAACAGTTGCATTGTCGTGTGATGGGGAAGAACTCTCTTTTACAAAAGTTGGAGAAGGTGCGTCAAACAGGATTTCCTGAGTTTTAGGAATTCAAAGTGACTCATCAATCGAGTCGCTCATACTAGGGAATATTGAAAACATCAGGTCGTTATTCGAATGGTGTGTATCAGTGTTATGGCGAAATTTCTATTACTCCTAAGGCAAATGGAGAAACAGGATGAAGTCTATCGTTTCACAAATGTACAAATATGATAAGTATAGTATAAAAGTCGTCGGTGTTTTCATTCTTTCCGACATCCTTTCAGCTTCTGGATCGGTTAGAGCCATGTACTACATCCTACAGACCTGGGAACAACGGGGTGTCGTGTCTTGGTCATCTGCAACAAGTACTATACAATAAAGTGCATCAGAACATGCTATAAATAAAACACACTATGTTGTTAATCACGAAACATGGTGATCATCATAAGTACGTGTACGGTGGGAGAGGTCTGTTTTACACTGTCAGTAATTACATTGACGAATGCAACTTTGATATCAGCCACCGAAAGAGCGATGAAAATTTTTTAAGAAGGGAGCCAAAAACACCTTTCAACACTATTACTTATTTCTATAAAATTCAAATATTATCCAGCGCTACATGATGATGTTCAAAGCATTTTGCAAAATCACATACTATGTAGTTAAAAAAGTTTTATCGAAGGAAGTCGTTAAACAAATTGAAATAATTTACATTCGAAACACAATAAAAAGCTTGACTTCCAACACAATTTGATTTTAGTTAAACTATGTGTTTAGATAAATACTGGATAAAACATTGCCATTATCTGTCAATATGGTATTGTGTGGCTATATTTAGGCGTTAATGATATGGTAAACAGTTTAGAAATAAGCTTTCAGATTGTTAGAATCTCAAAGTTCACATATTAGTATTTGAAACTATGAAGTAATACATAGATTGAAAGACTTACTTGTTATGAAATCGACCATAGTGTGAAATACATCCAGAGCAAACAGGTCATTTATCTTTCTTAAACTTGATAACTCAATGGCTTAGAATCACGCATTTGTATTTCTTTTTAAATGCAATTCATGTTTAGAAGATTTAAGCGAGGAAATGTTATCTTAATATGACCTTTGATATTGTGTTGAATCGTAGAAGGTTTTTTCAATTTCCCGGTAGTAAGGCCTTTGGATGTTATTATGCGTATTACTAGATATTTCCCTTTGAAAGACCTTTTGATATTGTTTTGACTATAATTATGTATTTCCACAATTTCGGTTAACAAACATATTGGTTCTGTTCTGATTATTAGATATTTAAAAACTTGTTGTGAAAATTGTTCTAAATATTGTTTTTACTCTTTTGCCATTTTAAGTTGCTTGTGCTGTTCATTTGTTCCTTAAGAGCTTGTCTCACAGAAATCCATGCAAAAGTGTCCAGGAGTGATTCTCACAGAATGTCATGAAATTTGGTACACACAACACTTATGCCATGCCAATTCCACTTGTAAAATTTTTTACTTGAATTTTATTGGATTGCAGAGTTTTGCAGCGCCATCTATTTTTCACCTTTTTTTACGGGAAAATTGTCAAATTTTAGTGTTTTTTAAGCATTTTTATCTAACAAATAAGCAATTATAGTCATGATAAATATCTTTTATGACCAATTCATGTGACAAACCATTATAAAAGGAATAAAAAGACAAAATAATAAATATATATTTATTTCTATGGTAGTCCAATTTCTCTATTCATAGTACTGGTGTACAGTGAATTGGCTATTTCAGCCAAATCAACACCAGACAAAAATGCTAAAATGTCGAAAAGGTGAAGCTGTAATTAAAAGTTAACTGTATCAAAATAAACCTCTTTGATAAGTTAAAGAAATAAAAAAAATCCACCCACGGCAAATAATCAGAAATATCTGTAGTATGTTTCATAGTACAGCTAGTCTGCTGCATATTTCAATCTGTATTTGTATACTATTTTCATGTTATGAACTCATTCTTTTTCTAAATAAAGCAATTACTACTGGTTTAGATTTTATAAAACAATCGTTTATTAATACGAATGCTGTTTTCTGTAATTCAAAGCAATATTATACAGCAAACATAAAATCAAAGTACTAAAAGCACTCTTGGAAAGCTCTATAAAACAATTAAAAATGACAAATTATTAATACAACATAAAAAATCTACCAAGTGAATGCTAGTTTTCTATCACATTTCAATACAATTGATTAATTCAAATCAGCACAATCCTGTGAACAAATAATCAAAGTACACAAAGTACTCTAAGAATGTATTTTTATATGTATGAATCAGTCAGGGGAATTACTAAAACAAGAAATTTTTAAATCACACGTTTACAATTGATCAACATGATCAAGGGTTTATTTCATTTAAAAGGCATTTCTAAATACTCAGAAAAGGGACATATATATGCAATTATAAATAGTGTAAAATATATCTTTTTGTTGTAAAAAGAATGATGAGAAGGAATGATAATGTTTTAGCTTTAACACTAGTTTATCTGATTGTTTGCACTTGAACCATTTTTGGAGGAAAATCTGAAATGTTTATATGCTTAATATAAGAGACCATCTTTTATATAAATAAAGTAAAGGGAAAATTCCATTAAATGATTTATGAATTAAGTAATTTCAGACTTGAAATAAAGGTAGATAACTCCTATTTGCAATGCGACTAAACAAAATACACTATTATATAAGTAATTCCCAAATCATAATTTCAGTAAACGTTATTAAATGTTTAACCTTGTTAATTGAAATAAGACTTTTTAAAATTTGTAAAAAAGAAATCAGAAACTACTACAATATATAACATCATTCCAGATATTAAATGAGTAAAACTATTTTTTTTTTAAATTCAGGACTTTTAGAATAGAGATAACTGTATTGTATTTGAAGCTTTGCGGATGCTCATCAGTAGTTTTACTGTTGCAAATTAAGTTTTAACATGCAACAAATAAAACTACAGATGAACATCTGAAAAACGTTAAATACAACACAGTTATATCTACTGTAATGCAAAATAAACAAACTATTCAATTCAAGTCATTATTTCAATGTAAAATTTTCATTAAAAGAAAATTCCGCGAAATGATGTTATCTTCTTTGACACCTAAACTAGTCAAACTCAGAGAATCTTTTACATTAAGCATTGCAAACTCAAAGAGGAGCATATCAACAGTTAAAAAGAACAAAAGGAAAAGCATACCTCAATGCAACAGCAAGCAATTAGGTCAACAACACAAATAACCAAAAACACACCCAGTAGTCAACACATACATATACTTGTAATAATGATATACAGGCAAAATGACAGGGGTGTCTATCAAATGCCAAGTTATAAATTATTAATGGTTACAGTTATATTATGATCATTTTCTTTTTAAAGTTTACATCTAACTATTTTGAGACATACATGTATATATAAACAAAGAGTCAAACATGAAACGTCTTTACTGCTCCACTGATCAGGATAAAATATTATGAAGAAAAATCATTTTAGAAGTACCCATGAAAGTAAGGTCAAGGGCATAAAAAACATGCAAGTTTGACAAATACATCAAATATTAATTTTAAAAAAATATTTATAATTCATTTGAAACTGATGTAACTATGAATCTTAATGTAGATCACTGAATCATGCATGAACTGATTAAAATTAACATTGATCAAGGATGTACAAAAATGTACTTAGATGAATTAAAAAAAAAACAAGAATAAAATATACTATAAGACTTAAAGTACATGTTGTATAAGTAAGAGGAACATTAGTTCAAGAACAAAATAAGCTAAAATTATTGATACTTTAGTGCGCTCCTTTTCCAGATATTTAATTTAAAAAAAAGGCTGTCTCAGACTTTAATCTTATATTTGCATTTTTTAGTACTTGTATGATTTGGGTCTGAAAATCAAAAGAAAATAAATTTAGAATCTGCTCAACATGTATTTTTATATGGGGTAAAATATTTTACCTTGTAACAAATAAAAAAAACAAAGGAGTCCGAAAATCTGACACAAATTCCTAAACCTGACTTAAGTCGTGTAAGTACATCCTTAAAGTAACAAGCATTCTGTGAGTATTGCATGGCAATACATAGTCCCCTACCGGTTACAAATTCATTGTAATGGAATGAAATTCTAATTTGATCTATAACTTGTCATGGTGTAAACTACATAAAATATCAAGTCAAAATCTTCAAGCATGACGAAAAAAACTGTTGAAAACTGATTATTTAAGTGAATTTTCTATGTCCAAAGACCATAACTCTGCACAAAATTATCAGACTGGAACAAAATTCCAACTTGATCTGTAACTTGTCATGATAAAACTATATACTTATTATCAAATCAATACCTTCCAGAATGAATAACAAACCTACCACTAAATTCTTCAAACAATTTACCAAAGAAAAGGAAAAAAATCCAAAATGTCATTTTGTCTTTTAAAAAATGAGTTATTTCCCTTTGAACAGAAATCTACTAATTAATAAGTATTTCATCAAAAATTTAATTCTAGGGAAAGGGCTTTAACTGAACAAAGTGAAAAGCTAAAATCGTGAAAATTGAACTTGATCTGTAACTTGTCATAATAAATCAATAAACCAAATAGCAAATCAATATCTTCAAGCACGAAGAAAAAAAGTCTGGAAAACTGATTTGCCGGACTGACAGACAGACAGACAGACAGACAGACAGACAGACAGACAGACAGACAGACGGACGGAGTGCAAACCTAAAGTCCCCTTCGACTTCGTCGGTAGGGGACTAATAAAACCATGAAAATATCTACAATTGTGTATCTATACTGAGAGACTATGATTATGATTGTATGTTAATAGCTAAGAAAACATTGTCAACCATATTATTCATATTTTCATTGTAGTCATCCGTTTCCAAAGCTGTCACGATTTCAGAAAGTTTCTCGTCATCTTCCATTCTAACTTCTTCAAACACATATTCATTTTGAGAAACTGATTGTTTTTTAGATGGAGGAGGTGTAGTGTCATGGTCAGATGACTTTGATTTTCTAGACAAATAGGATGCAATGAATCCTTTAATTTGTGTGCTGCTCAACCATTCTTCTTTTTTGAAAAGTTTTTCCCCATTTTCATTGGAAGCTTTCTTTATTTCTTCAGATAAAGAACCACAATCTGGACGTTTTCCAGTTTTGTCACAAGCTTCACAAATTTGAATTAAGTAATCTTTCACTTGTAGTGAGAATCGGGTCGATTTTCTCTTGTTTTTTATAGCCCATCCAATTCTGTCCTCTGAATCACTGTTCATATTAAGTTCAGTATCTGTTGTAAATGTTGACACTAATAAATTATTGGATTCCCTGAGTGTTTCACATTTTGAGGCATACATATTTACAGCTTCATCCATACTTGTACATGAATTTGTGAGATATGAATGATTTCCTATTGCTAAATGTCTTTCAAGATTGAAACACTTGGCAAATATCTTCTGACATGAAGGATCTGGACATGAAAAGAATGAATCAGTTTCAGCATTGTGGTCATTTCCAACTGTTCCAGAAACTTCGTTTGCAACACTTTCATTAGTCATGTTAGTAGTGTTTTCATCAACATGGTGCTGGTTAAGTGAAACAGTTCCAACTTCATGTGCTCCAGGAAAAGGATAATTTACCTGAAAACATGAAACATTTGTAGTTGCATTTTTTGCAAAACAGATTTGTGCAACTTCATATGAATAAATAAAATGCTCCGCTGGGCGCAGCTTGATACGACCACAGAGGTCAAACCCTGAACAGTTGGGGCAAGTATGGACACAACATTCAAGCTTGATACAGCACTGAATTTGGATTGTGATTAAATATTTGACACAGCATAGGTTTCTGACACAGAATGAATGTGGTCTAAGAACTTAAAAAAATTTAATTTACCTATTCAAACCATATCATTATTATTTGCTCTTATATATAAATCAGAAATAACCAATTTAAAATGGAAAATTTTAAAGAAAAAAAAAAAAAGAAAAAAAAATCCCCCTCCAAATTTATGAACCCCCTTATGATTCATCACCCCCAAACTCAATCCCAGCCTTCCCTTTGTGTTATGGTACCTTGCAGTACAATTTCAGAGAGATCCATACACTTGAACACAAGTTATTGTCTGGAAACTAGAAAAATGCTTGTTTTTTGGCCCCTTTTTGGCCTCAAATTTCTAAATGTTTAGGGCAATTACCCCCAAACTCAAACCCAGCTTTCCCTTTGTAATATGGAACCTTGTAGTACAATTTCATAAAGATCAATACACTTACACATAAGTTATTGTCCTGAAACTAGAAAAATGCTTGTTTTTTGGCCCCTTTTTGGCCCCAAATTTCTAAATGTTTAGGGCAATTACCCCCAAACTCAAACCCAGCTTTCCCTTTGTAATATGGAACCTTGTAGTACAATTTCATAAAGATCAATACACTTACACATAAGTTATTGTCCTGAAACTAGAAAAATGCTTGTTTTTTGCCCCTTTTTTGCCCCTAATTCCTAAAATTTTGAGGCAATTACCCCCAAAATCAATCCCAGCCTTCCCTTTGTGGTATGGTACCTTGCAGTACAATTTCAGAGAGATCCATACACTTGAACACAAGTTATTGTCTGGAAACTAGAAAATGCTTATTTTTGGCCCCTTATTCCTAAACGTTTTGGGCAATTACCCCCAAACTCAATTCCAGCTTTCCCTTTGTGATATGGAACCTTATAGTACAATTTCAGAAAGATCCATACACTTACACACAAGTCATTGTCCTGAAACTAGAAAAATGCTTGTTTTTTGCCCCTTTTTTGCCCCTAATTCCTAAAATTTTGAGGCAATTACCCCCAAAATCAATCCCAGCCTTCCCTTTGTGGTATGGTACCTTGCAGCACAATTTCAGAGAGATCCATACACTTGAACACAAGTTATTGTCTGGAAACTAGAAAATGCTTATTTTTGGCCCCTTATTCCTAAATGTTTTGGGCAATTACCCCCAAACTCAATTCCAGCTTTCCCTTTGTGATATGGAACCTTGTAGTACAATTTCAGAAAGATCCATACACTTACACACAAGTTATTGTCATGAAACTAGAAAATTGCTTGTTTTTTGCCCCTTTTTGGGCCCCTAATTCCTAAAATTTTGAGGCAATTACCATAATCAAAAAAATAAACACCAGTTTAGATTCAGCATATCAAAGAACCCCAAGAATTCAATTTTTGTTAAAATCAAACTAAGTTTAATTTTGGACCCTTTGGACCTTAATGTAGACCAATTTAAAAAACAGGACCCAAAATTAAAAATCTAAAAACACGGTTAGATTTGGCATATCAAAGAACCCCAATAATTCAATTTTTGAAGAAATCAAACAAAGTTTAATTTTGGACCCTTTTGACCTCAATATGAACCAATTTGATAGCAGGGCCCACAAATAAAAAATCTAAATACATGGTTAGATTCAGCATATCAAAGAACCCCATATATTCAATTTTTGTTGAAATCAAACAAAGTTTAATTTTGGACCCCAACTTGGACCAACTTGAAAACTGGGCCCAAAATCAAAAATCTAATCACATGTTTAGATTCAGTATATCAAAGAACCCCAAGAATTCAATTTTTGTTAAAATCAAACTAAGTTTAATTTTGGACCCTTTGGACCTTAATGTAGACCAATATAAAAAACAGGACCCAAAATTAAAAATCTAAATACACGGTTAGATTTGGCATATCAAAGAACCCCAATAATTCAATTTTTGATGAAATCAAATGAAGTTTAATTTTGGACCCTTTTGACCTCAATATGAACCAATTTGATAGCAGGGTCCACAAATAAAAAATCTAAATATATGGTTAGATTCAGCATATCAAAGAATCCCATATATTCAATTTTTGTTGAAATCAAACAAATTTTAATTTTGGACCCCAATTTGGACCAACTTGAAAACTGGGCCAAAAATCAAAAATCTAAATACATGTTTAGATTCAGCATATCAAAGAACCCCATATATTTAATTTTTGTTAAAATCAAACAAAGTTTAATTTTGGACCCTTTGGACCTTAATGTAGACCAATTTGAAAACTGGACCCAAAATTAAAAATCTAAATACTAGGTTAGATTCGGCATAACAAATAAATAAATGTGGTCAAAGATTTTACAAATCTAATGCGCCATACTGTGCAATTAAAGACTACTTCTTGAATTTCTTCAATATTTGAAATTTGAAAAAAAAATAATATTTGAAGAATAATTCTTTTTAATTTCTGAAATCTGAAATGAGAAAAAATTGACCCCCCACAATTTCTTTTTACCCCCCCTTTTTTTCCCAAAAAAATTCTTTCCCTCAAGATATGGTCATAATCTTAATTCAAATTTCCAATGGAGTTTGCAACCATAATTACCCATTTAAATTTACCATAGTGCTAACTTAATCTATTTTATAATAGAATTTAAAATATAGTGTCAAATCTTTCATATGGATTTTTTTGTAAAAAAAAAAGATGCAACATTTGCAGATATTTTTACTGGTCTTCCTTTATAAATATGCATTTCTTTAAACATAATTTAAAAGCAGTGTAAGGGAAGTAACCAAAACGTTGTATTTGGATTACCTCCCTTACACCGTTTTAAATTATCTTAATTGTTCATTAACCATTACTTTATACATAATTTAAAAGCAGTGTAAGGGAGATAATTTCAATGATGTATTTGATTTATCTCCCTTACACTGCTTTAAATTATGTTTTGTACTAAAGTATTTGTCCATTAACCAGGACAACCTTGTTTTCCCCCTTTTTTGCCCCTAATTCCTAAACGGTTTGAGCCATAACCCCCAAAAGCAAATCCTAACGATCCTTTTGTGGTATAGAAACTTGTAGTATAATTTCAGAGAGATCCATACACCGTTCCACAGTTATTGTCTGGAAACTAGAAAATGCTTATTTTTGGCCCCTTTTTGGCCCCTAATTCCTTAACTGTTGGTACCATAACCCCCAAAATCAATCTCCACCTTCCTTTTGTGGTATTGACAACGCCAACGTCATACCAATATACGACCGCAAAAATTTTCGTATAAAAATGCTTATTCATGGCCCCTTTTTGGCCCATAATTCCTTAACTGTTGGTACCATAACCCCCAAAATCAATCCCAACCTCTCTTTTGTGGTATTGAACCTTATGGTAAAATTTCATAGAGATCCATTCACTTAAACTAAAGTTAGAGTGCGAAAACCAATGTGTCTTCGGACAAAGACGACGCCGGACGTCATACCAATATACCACCGCAAATTTTTTTTGCGGTCGTATAAAAAACTAGAGGGTATAAAGAGCCTGTGTTGCTCACCTTGGTCTTTGTGCATATTAGATGTACTCATGACAAAATTGTGTTTTGGTGATGGTGATGTGTTTGTAGATCTTACTTTACTGAACATTCTTGCTGCTTACAATTATCTCTATCTATAATGAACTTGGCCCAGTAGTTTCAGAGGAAAATATTTTGTAAAAATTTACAAAAATTTAAAAAATTTATGAAAATTGTTAAAAATTGACAATAAAGGGCAACAACTCCTCAAGAGGTCAATTGACCATTTTGGTCATGTTGACTTATTTGTAGATTTTACTTTGCTGTACATAAAATATTGCTGTTTACAGTTTATCTCTATCTATAATAATATTGAAGATAATAACCAAAAGCTGCAGAATTTTCTTAAAATTACCAATTCAGGGGTAGCAACCCAACAATGGGTTGCCTGATTGGTCTGAAAATTGCTTGATAGATATTGACCTAATGAACAATGCAACCCTCATCAGATTTGCTCTTAATGCTTTGGTTTCAGAGATATGAGCCAAAAACTGCATTTAACCCCTATGTACTATTTTTGGCCATGTTACAAAAATTTACGAAAAGTTGTTAAAAATTGAATATAAAGGGCAATAACTCCTTAAGGGGTCAACTGACAATTTTGGTCATGTTGACTTATTTGTAGATCTTAATTTGCTGAACATTATTGCTGTTACAATTTATCTCTATATAATAATATTCAATATAATAGCCAAAAAACGGCAAAATTTCCTTAAAATTACCAATTCAGGGGCAGCAACCCAACAACGGGTTGTCTGATTCATCTGAAAGTTTCAGGGCAGATAGATCAACATTTTTACCCCATGTCAGATTTGCTCTAAATGCTTTGGTTTCCGAGATATAAGCCAAACACTGCATTTTACCCTATGTTCTAATTTTAGCCATGTCTGCCATCTTGGTTAGTGGGCAGGGTCATTGGACACATTTTTTAAACTAGATACCCTAGTGATGATTGTGGCCAAGTTTGGTTAAATTTTGCCAAGTAGTTTCAGAGGAGAAGATTTTTGTAAAAGTTAACGGACGCAGGAAGCCAACGACGGACGACGAGGATGGACGACGGACGCCAAGTGATGAGAAATGCTCACTTGGCCCTGTGGGCCTGGTGAGCTAAAAATTGATAAATGTTTAACTTGACTGAAATAAATGCATTAAGCTACAGACTCTGTGGAGCCTGAAAAGCTCATCTAATGACTTCAGATGAGTGTGGCCTATTTTTTTATCCAAACAATTACCAGTAGTTTCAGAGGTTAAGAATTTTTTTGATGGACATCAAATAATTACAAGACATCAAACTGGTCTTTTGAACCAGGTGAGCCATAACAGGACAAGAATATTATTTTTTTTCATTTATATTTATTCATGTTGTTAAAACCAGTTGCCTTTTTTTATATACAGCCTGTACAAGAAATCTATTAAAAGTACACATTCCTCAAATTCTTAAATTTGTAGCTTGCTTAACTCTAAATGATAGAATTTCATGTTTTTACTATGAACTTAACTGTGGGCGTAGTGAACTTAATTCTAGGACCTTTCATATCTGCCTGTGGTATAGGTTTAGTTCATTGATGAAGGCTGTACAGTGACCTATAGTTGTTAATTTCTATGTAATCTAATATATCAGTATTTAACAGGACTCTAAATTACCTTCAGGTTGTAAACTCTTTCTACTTCAAGGTTTTTATCTGTAAGTGTTCCATTACCTATCTTCTTTCCACTACCAACATTGTATGCTTTCTTGACAACAATTCCATCATCCAAAAAGATGAAATTGTTGAAACTACTGATTCCTGGAATCTTAGTTCTAATCTTAGGTTCTACTTCTTGATTTACAGAAACTATACAAGTTTGTGTCCCTTTTACACCTCCGTGACTTTCCAATGCTGTTTTCATATCATTACTATTTAAAATGTCATGTCCCTCATTGGCATACTTAAATATATGCAGTCTACAACTGCCGGTCTTGCTGTCACATAAATCTTTTCCGGCCTGAGCCTCACTGAAGTTGTACTGCTTGATTTTGATAGGAAAGTCTTTGTTACATTGTTGTATGAATGAAATCAGATTTGTGCAATGGTAGCAAGCAGCATTGTCACTTTTCAGGAATAATTCTTCTAATAAGGGTTTTTCACTTTTGAATTCATGAAGAAGGTGAACAAGTATATTGGCAATAGAGAACCAACCCTGTGATCCATCCTCTAAAATATGTACATAACAAAAAAGATCAAGTTTTTCTCTGTCTATTGGTGAACAAAGAACAAGGCAGGAAAAATGCCAACTGATGCCTTTTTTGCCAAAAAAGTCTGACTGTGTTTCTCTATAGATGAATGGCAAGAATTTCATACCCCAGTCCATTATAAGCATTCCCTGATTGTCCTTAAGATCACTTAAAACATCATTCCTGGCTCCATCTTGGTGAACTGTTCTCAATAGATGTCTTTTCCATTCCAATACATTCCGTGCTCCATTTTCAAGTTCATAACTTATTTCATCAGATAATGTTTTTGGAATGTCTAAATTACCGAATGCCTTCTCAACAATGTTCACACAAGAGTCTACAAGTTTACATTTTTCACAGGATTGGGTGTGTGAATGATTGCATTTTGTAGCAAAGTTCTGATCGACAGAATCACTTAGAGCAAAAGGTGTACAATGGTCTGCACATTGGTCATCCTTTCTAAGGTGAAGTTTGTACTCAAATTTGAGGAACTGATTGACAAGTTGAAGCATTTCTTTCAGCTTATTGACATCTTCATGTTGCAATCCATATGCCTCTAATTTTGTGACAACCTTGGTCAAGTTGTCAATGGCACCCATACCAGCAGCAGAGGTATTGTCTAGTCCCTGAAGTGCCTTTTGCTTAGAAGCATTACAAACTTTTAGGATTCTATATAATGAAGCTTTGCTGAAAGAAGAAAATCCAGTCTCAAGGCAGTATGTCTGATAACTGTTTATAATTCTAGCATGTATTAAATTCCTGACTACTTTTGGAATTGTTAACTTTTCATTTGTTGATAGCTTCAGAACAGTTTGGCCGAATCCAACAATACTGGAATATAATGGATTAAGTATATAGTCAATGAAATGAGCAATCTTTGGTCTTGTTAATTTCATTCGATATATCTTTGGTGGATTAAGGATGTTACCAGGGCCTGTTACCATAGCATGCTTTCTTGCAGCATCAACACGTGAAACTGTGACTCCTGGGATCATATTCTGAAGTTCTGATTTTGTGAAGTTGTTTACTATCAGAGATAAAATCTGTGTTTGTGTCCTGCTATTGGCAGCTTGGTTGTAAGCTTCAATAATACACTTATTTGTTGAATCAATTTCAGTCTTTTTTGGGCCACAATTAAAAATATTTCAGTTTGCCCAAACCCGACCCATGATGACTGGGTGTGGGTAGGTAGGTAGGCAAATTCTTTTTTTTTTGATCAGAATTTGCATGAAAATATTAAAACAGTATATCTTTTTTTCCGTCAAACCTTTGTAGAGACAATCAAAAGCCATGAAAAACTGTCTGCCATTTTCACATGTTTTACTTCTTTACAGGGATGTCACTAGGTTTTGAAGTAGCAGGATTAATAATTAAAGTAGCAGGCAAGCTCGTCGCCCATCACGGCGAGGTTTTTTTTTCTAAAATGGTGCAAAAATCCTGCATTCTGGGGGCTCCTGAACTCTAATTTAGTCCTAATCAAACACCATTTTTTTTAATGATGATAAGGTAAATGAGCAGCAAGATGGTCACATATTTTCTATAAAGTTGATCACATAAATATTATTATCACTATAACAAGACTTTCAGCTAACAAGTAGTTGAAGTTGTTTGAGGAAAATGATGAAGGATGACTCTGTAAGACATGGTGATCATTCAGGAAAAGATTCAAATTTGATCTTATTAGTTGAAAATATTTTTAGTTTAACTGTAGACATGCAATTATTCAAATAATTCGAACCCATAGACATTTTTTTTTATTTCTCAGTATTAATAATTTCACATACTTATTACAATAAATCAAATGATGAATTGGACTGTTGCAGGCAAAAAGGTGAACTCTTTAAGGATGTACTTTGGTGAAATTAGAAAAATGTAGAATTTAAAATTGATACTATAAGTCAGAAGACTTCAAGAGCATTTAAGTTAAGAAGCAAACTAATGGAAAGAGAAGAAATCTACAATCTGCTTAAATTTTGGTATATGACCTTTTATGAGTTATTAATTGAAGTATTATATATGGGAAAAAAATGGGGGTCATGGGGCAAAATATTTTACCCTGTATCGTAGGAAAAAACCAGAGTCCAAACATCTGACAGAAATTCCAAAACCTGACCTAAGTACATCCTTAAATGCATAATCATGCAGGGCTCACACTACTTCAGAATCATAGGCAGAAGTGACTTCTCTTTTTGAAACTGATAGGGAGAAGTGCTCCTTTGCACACTGTGCTACAATGTTTGGTTTTTACTACCTATAGTACAAAGGGTCATATGTAAATAATGTTCTTTTTATATTGTTCAATTCATATATGAGTATACAATTAAAGTAAAAGTTCAAATTCAAAGTTGTTTAAGTTTAGGTTCTTGTGAGAAACTACCAACTAAATATCTAGCACTAAAAAGATTTTTTTTTATGACAAAAAGATAAAGAAATTATAATATATAAATCACAATTCAATTAAAAAACTATCTTGTTTATCATGTTTATGAAATTCAGTGTTTCTCATCAAAAGATATACAAAGTTAAGCTGGGCCATATATATTGATATTAGTATTATAGTCCCAGAGTTAATTAAGCAAGTTTAATCAATATTTTGAAACAATCCATATATATGGAATTATATACATTAATCAAGTAAATCTAATAAATAGTCTGTTAATGCGTGTGGAATGCGCAATTTTTCCATTTGGGACCAATTTCCTTGTCAGCTGTTCCATTCATGCGTCCGTAGTTATTATTGTAAAAATACGGATTTCGGTCATAGCTGGTCCGTTTCCGATCCGTAGTTAGAAAACAGTTAATGGCGGACGAAGAAAATTTACAAAAATAAACGATGTTTGACAAGCTATTTGGAAAGGAATATAACGTTTTTAATGCAATAAATGGATTAAACATTAACTGGAGGCAATTTTTATCACGTTCAAATGAAGTAACAAACTTATTTTGTCGCCGAAAGTTAGATTGATGTACGATCTCGTGTAACAAGTACCGGAAGTGAATGAAGTGATAAAAAGTTGTTTTTTTATTAAATAATCTGCTTCACACTGTAAAGTAAATGCTTAAATCTCTGTTCTTCAGAAAATGAATCGTTTATGTCTGAATTTCTTTAATTATCAATGTTTCATCGACTTGGTAAAAAATGAAAACTTTGTGAAAATATTATTTTTGACAATTTTGCAGTAGCCGGTGCCAAAGCAGAAGTAACCGTTCTTTAAATCCGAAGATAAAAACCGAGAACATCGAATATCGATTAACTGCGTCTCTTACACGCTTTCTTTTAATCTTATTCACAGTTACTTTCAAACGCAAAGACGACGAACATTAAGTTTTATACGATGACGGAGCGGACACGAAAAAGGTCCGAAAAAATAAAAATATTCAAAAAAACGGCAAAAAAAGAATTTGAGTCGGCGGGTTTTTTTTGGGTCGGTCGCGTTTGGGCAAACATACAATATTTTTATTTTGGCCTTGTTTGGATGGAATTCAACAATACAGTTTCTTGTCCAGGAGCTATTATGTTCAAAATAAGGAAGATGGCCTCTTGTGCTTTCTTTTGGTAATAAGACTTTGAGCTTTTACTTATGCTGGACCATGACAGACACAGCTGATGTTTTAATGGTTCATAATCTTTTGACAGAATTTTCATAGCCGAATTAAGCCTTTCTTTCGAAGTCAATTGAGCATCCATCCAGTCTTGGCTGCTTGCTTGTGTATAATCAGATTGCTGGGAAAACTGGGACGAAAGCTGAGTTGAATCACCACCTGAAAGTATTAAAGTGTAAATACATATTTGGTAAAGTTATTTATTAACTGTGTATGTGTTGGTCAAAGTCAAGGAATTGATATAAATTGGCTCTGAGCTCTCCTAATCTTATGATTTTGAAAGTCTGGTTTTTCATGATCATCAGGAGGCTCGAGAACAGGGATATATTGTAATTTGATTTTTGTTAAAGTTGATTATATTAAGATTAATTTTGGACCTTTTGGATCTTAATGTGGACCAATGTGAAACTGGGCCTACAATCAAAAATCTTAAGACACGTCCAGTATCAGCATATCATTGAACCCAAAGAATTGAAAAATAGTTGAAATCCATCAATATATAATTTTGGACCCTTTGGACCCAAATGTGGACCAATTTAAAAACCGGACTCAAAATAAAAATTCTAAATACTGGTTTAGATTCTGCATATGAAAAAACCCCAATGAATAATTTTTTGATGAAATCAAAAACAGTTTAATTTTGGACCTCAATGTGGACCAATTTAAGAACAGGGCACAAATTCCCAAAATTTTGAAACAAAATTAGATTTAGCAGATTAAAGAACATGTAGAATTCTAGACAATGATTTAAACCCTTGAAATTTGTCAAGAAATTAGCAATTTATACAAAGTATTAAAAAAGTATTGTTTTTGACCCCTAATTTGCAGTCGTATTAAAATTAAATAATAAAAAAACACCAAATACCCTGATTTATGGACCCAAAAAAAAAAAATTATGATAGCTGGCAACTACTTACAACAACTGAAAAAGACCTACGGGTGTGGGATTTTCTCGCTTTGTTTAATACCTATTGGTTTCATTGCACAGTTTTATGCTCTTTGGTCGGGTTGTCTCTTTGACGCATTCCCCATTTCCATTCTCAAATTATTCCTTGAAATATTAACCAAATAGGATATAACATTTTTTTTTTAAAGTGATGTTGTTTAAAGAGCTCGTAAATAAAGATACTATCAATGTAAACTTATGATAATTAGAAAACTTATTTGTGATAATTTCCAAATCAAGTTACTTGTGTGATATTGGATTTTCTCAGTCGAACAGAAGGAAAATGTGTAATGTCATAACCTTGTGTCACTGACATTGCTAAGTAAAATAGTGATAAAAAAATTATGAATGAAATTTATAACTTAAGGAAATTTCTTGTCTACATCCCATCTCAAGGCTGTGGCCCCTAGATGAATTTGTAGCTGAAAAATTCTGTCCTCTTAAAGAACCATCGATCATATGTAATGATACTTCAGGAAATGTGAGAGAACAACTATATAAGTACCTGTGCAGTGAGAAGAAATACATGCATCATTTTCTAATTCCATATCTTGGCAGTCATTGTCTTTTGCTGCTAAAAAAAAAAATTCAGATGAAATTATTTCTTACATACAATTACTGTAATGGTTACTGTTTTTCAAGGTACATATTAAGGTCATGCATTTGTCATTTCAAATATTGTGTTATTTTTCATTGAAAGTAGTTAAAATAAATGGAGAATGTGTCCCCATGGACACAAATGATGCCCCCGCTTGCTTACAACATTATAAAGGGACATAACTCAAAAGCGATAAAAGTGACGCTACTAAAATTTGTACTTGATCTGAGTTTTGTGGTAATTAGTATTGTGTATAGGTTTCATAATGTTTGGTAGGGGCAAACTTAAGTTACAGAACGGAAACTAAAAAGTTTGTAATTTTTCAATTTATAAAGGGGCATAACTAGAAAATGGTTAAAGTGAAGCCAGCAAAATTCAACTTGATCCGTGTTTTGTGGTTATAAGCATTGTGTATAAGATTCATAACATTTGGTTGAGGCAACTTGTTAGAGAACGGAAACTAAAAAATTGCATTTTTTTTCATTTATAAAGGGGCATAACTCGATAATGGTTAGAGTGACCCCACTAAAATTCAAACTTGATCTGTATTTTGTGGTAATTATGATAATAAGCATTGTGTATAAGTTTCATAACATTTGATTATGGCAAACTTAAGAAAGAGAACGGAAACTAAAACTTTTGCAAATTTTTCCATTAATAAAGGGGCATAACCTTTTTATACAGTTTCTAAAGCTCATACAAATAAATTGTACATATATTGTATATGTATGTTGATACCACACACACACACACATATATATATATATATATACAATATATGTATGTTGTCAGAAAATATAAAATCTATTTGTATGAGCTTTAGAAACAGGACGAAAAGCGAGGGTCCACCGAGCTTTTCTCCTGTTTTGTAGAGAGTACAAATAAATTTTATATTTTCCGACAATGTACTTATATTGTGTTTATCCTGAAATTACTCCTAACACTCGAAACTTTAGTTATTAAAATCAAAATCATTGTCTCTAATTTCTCAAAGAAATCAACATAGTTGAAACGTGGACTGCGAAATGAACTGGTTAGGAAACATAAATATTCATATTACCGCTTGCTCAACGTGGAAGTGGGGTAACAGGAGACTATACAAATAAAAAATTATTTGTATACCTGTTATTTGTACAATAGTTGGCTAATTGCAGGATAAATATATATATAGATATAGGAAGATAATGTATGAGTGCAAATGAGACAACTCTCCATCCAAGTAACAATTGATAAAAGTTAACCATTATAGGTCAAGGTACGGCCTTCAACACGTAGCCTTGGTTTATATATATAAAACATAAAAAGTAACTTACCAGTTAGGCAACCTGTTCTTATGTCAACTGAACTTTCTTGGACTTGGTAAAAGATTTCTATAAAAGAAAATGATAAAATAAGTTTTATTATAACTGAAATACTTTATAAATATAGAGTAACATGAGTTAAGATGCAGGAAGGCAAATAGTGGCTTTTTCTGACACACAATTGATTATACAAAGTAGTGCGTTAATGTTGAAAATGATGAGAATGAATTAGCAATATTGCCTTAATTGCCCTGCATATGATTGATTGATTGATTGTTGGTTGCTTAACGTCCAGTGGCAAATATTTAATGCATGTTCAGGACGAGAACAAGTTAACAATAAATACAATAGGTAGGTCTTGTAATAATAGAGGCCATCCGGTATGATGGTGGGGGAAATTTGGACTGCCACTGGAAAATGAGGGTAAATTGGATAGGGACAGAAATTTTGCCTTGCAACAGGCCACCTACGGACCCCTCAAAGAGTTGTTGCAAGGGTTCTTAACATGCAAAGAGCATCGAATTTAACGTCCCCATTCTGTCCGGACACCCTGCATATGATGCATGTACATTCTATTGTTGGTATGTACATGTAGTTTGAACTGACAATAATTTTTTTTTTGTCTAATGTTTTCTTAACTACAATTCAATTTTTATACTAGGTCTAGGCAGTGGCATATATGAGTATTCAACATAAGACAAACATCAATACAGAGTATTTTATTTAAATCAATGAGACAGCAACCCAACAACTTTTTAAAATGACTTCTAGTGGTCAACATACAGTCTTCAACAAAGGAAAAGCCTAAAGTGCTCTTCTTAATCTATTTATCTTGCAAATTCAGCCAAATATTGAATTATAATTTTTTTTATTATAAATAGAGTATACAAATAAAAAGTAGTCTTTATCCTGCTTCAATGTTGAGCAAAAGGTAATGCTAAAGACTACTGTCCATGCCACAGATCATTTTGGGAATACTTCAAAAAATAATAGTTTTTGTATTGGTTTAGTTTCTACATTCTGAAAGTGTTGATTTTTTATTATTGTTTTATGCTATAGAAATTACATATAAAATGCGCAATTTCATTTACAAAGATCTAAGGAAATAAATAATTTGAAAGTTCAAACTTACCTATTTCTTTCTCAAAATTTATGGCTACACTACATAAATCTTTTCTCAGCTCTGTGACACACTGCTTGCATAATCCTAAAACCAAAAAGAGTGCATAAATATATTTCCTTGCTCACTGGTACACGGTATAAAATGACTCAGGGTTGGGGAAAACAATTGATTTCTAGGCCCTGCCACTTAGTGCCCCTCATATTTATCTGTTTTTGTTTTGACTAGTCTATAATCAAGATGAAGAAAGCAAAAAAGGAACTTTAAGCTTATTCTCATTATTGGCCATTTACAACTTACAATTACATGTTCTGACAAAAGAGTCAACATTCTCATGCTTACCCATAAATATTGACCTTGGTTATCTATTAATATTTTATTCAATACACATTGTAATCGATTCCCCTTGGCATTTTCACAACATTTTATAGTTATCTATTTATATATGTGATACCTAAATGTCTTGATGTTCAACACTGGCTTTGATTTTAAAAAAATGGGAATTACAACCTAGCACTTTCTTTTTGTCAAGCCTTCGACTTTTGTCTAAAAAGCGAGACATGGCGATTCTACATTCCGTCGGCGGCGGGGGCGGCGGCGTCCACAAATATTCACTCTGTGGTTAAAGTTTTTAAAATTTTAATAACTTTCTTAAACGATCCTGGATTTCTACCAAACTTGGACAGAATCTTGTTTATTATCATAAGATAGTATCCAGAAGTAAATTTTGAAAAAAAAAGTCCTGTTTTTCCGTATTTTACTTATAAATGAACTTAGCTTTTCTGCCAGGAAACATAACATTCACTCTGTGGTAAAAGTTTTTAAAATTTTAATAACTTTCTTTAACTATCCTGGATTTGTACCAAACTTGGACAGAAGCTTGTTTATGATCATAAGATAGTATTCAGAAGTAAATTTTGTAAAAAAAAAATTCCATTTTTCTATATTTTACTTATAAATGGACTTAGTTTTTCTGCCAGGAAACATTACATTCACTCTGTGGTAAAAGTTTTTAAAATTTTAATAACTTTCTTAAACTATCCTGGATTTGTACAAAACTTAAGGACGGAAGCTTGTTTATGATTAAAAGCTAGTATCTAGAAGGAAATTTTGTTAAAATGTTGTTCCTGTTTTTCCGTATTTTACTTATAAATGGACTTAGTTTTTCTTCCAGTTAACATTACATACAGTCTGCCGTTAAAGTTTTTAAAACATTTATTAGATTCAAAAACTATCCTGGATTTTTACTAAACTTGGACAGAAGCTTTTTACAATCAAAATTAGTATCGAGAGGAATATTGATATTATTTTTTTTCCTCATTTTTGTTGAGCCTGCGATTAACAGCAAATGTAGGCGAGACACTGGGTTCCGCGGAACCCTTACAAATTTTTTACATTTTACTGACATTTACATGTACATGCACTCTTTCACTTAGTTATCAGGATAAACAACAGAATTTTAAGAGGGGACATTGAGCATTCATCATTTTAAACATACATTTCTATAGATTGAGGGACTAACTGTTAAAGTTTTCATAAAAATGAGTCCAAATTCAGGAAAAGAAGAGATGGGCTAAAATTTATGCAAACATTTCTGTCAACCAGGCAGCTGGCAGGTGCCGATTGTTGATTTTAAAAGGGGGGGTCAAGCCAACACTAAGAGTGATACATGTCCTTGAAAAAATCAAATGCATTTATAATATACATGTATGTAGATCCACAGGTGAAGCCTGTCCCCTGGTGCCAATAAATATGCCTCTGTCTATACAATATATCAAGCTTCAAACTGTTTGAGTATCTTCCAGTTAAAATTCATTTAACAGAAACAATTAAATGACTGCATTTGTTTACAATACTTCGGAAAAGGCAACTACATACATGTATGTTCATGCATGTACATGTAGATAGTCATGGGATTAGTCTTATGTAATTATTTAATTGAGATTTTAAACATTCTGTAGGCTAATCCCTACTACAGAATGAGATAAATGTTCACATATAGTATAATAGTGATTCATATTTCATGCTTACCTGATCCTACTGGGATGGTCTGACGTGTTTTCAGCCAGTACTGTTTAGAGAGAGATGGAGTTGTACCACGATCTGGTTTTGCCTTGCTTTTCTCGTTGTGGTTGGGATAGCAACAGCTATGTTTATTCCTCCTCCAGTGTATACCTAATAAGTCTCTATGTGCTTGACAAATTTTTAATTGTAAGGTTGTGTGGTCGATAGAAAAAATTCCACTTCTGTATAAAATCAGTAATGCCTCAGGAATAACCTGATAACATGAAATTGCAAGCATTTGTCAGGAATTTTTTCTGAGCATTGTAAACTTGAAAGATGGTTTGAGGTATCTCTGTTACAATTATACAGATGGATAAAGGTATTGTTAGCTGAACAATCAGAATTACCAAAATTTGCAAAATTGCAAGTGTGTGCAGACGCCATCATAACAAACACCCTTTATCCTTTCTCTGAAAGAGATTTCCACAAGGGGAAATAACTCTTATTGAACTATATATGTAAATTGTATCAAATCTTGCTTAATTTATGAAATTTGCATTTGAAAACATTTTTTTAGAAATATAATATTTTATTTATGCAAGATTAAACATTTTCAGTGTAGTTATCATTATTTTCTGCCTAATTTTACTTGTAATTGATATTTGAAAAAAGGGGGGGGAAGGACCTTATAGCCATATTTCAACTGAAAAATTAAGTTGTTTCTACTTATTTGCCATGGGTGGATTTTTTATATTTTATAAAACTAAGAACGATGTTTTAAATAAAGTTCATTTCATGAATTTCTAGCTTCACCTTTTCGGGAACCAGTGACCCAAACTTCATTAAAAAACAGCTTATGCAAAAGTAGGTTTCATATATAGCATTCTATTGAATAGTCAAAAGAGCAAAACATCTCATAAAAGTATAAACCATGATATATTATAGTTGTTATTATAATATTATCAAGTATTAACCCAACACAATTTGCATGACAGTTTGTATATGCTCTTCAACTGAACCGTTTTTTTGGTAGAAATTCAAGCCATTTCAGTCAAATATACAAATTAGGCTGTTACTAAATATAGACACAAATTAGTGGAAAATTTAAAATGTTTTTTTTTATTTCTAATGTACTTAACATCTTAAAAATCTAAATTGACCAGACAAGTTTTGACCATCCACCTGGACGAATTTTTGAATTTTGCATGGTTTTCTGTGAGACAAGCTCTTAAGATGACGATGATATATATGTGCATGTTATCGAACAGTTTTTTGCGCTTTTGAAACTCACCCAATGTACCAACACTTTTCTGTGTGAGAGTTATCTCCTCTAACACTGTGTTTATTATATACACGCCTCCTTCGTTACAAACACAGGTATCGACACAATTATTTTGTATATTTGTTCGCTACATCCTTATATAGCTCTGGATAATTTTGACTTAAGCGATCTGGTGACATCTTAAAGAAGTTATCTACCGTTAGATATTTTACTCATGTGCTTGCATATGGAGTATATGTCATGTTTGTAACAAAATTAAGACGATTTTCCAGAGCCTGCATTTCATATCATGATTTCCTTGATGGAGGGTTACTGCTAACTAGGAAGCTATTAAACCAAGAGTTCCAAGTGTTGAAGTTAAAATCATTCCTTCGAATACTCTAAGAACGCCATCACGAGTTGGTTATGAAATATCTGTTTCGCAGAAGACGACTGATATGTTTCAATTCTCGTAACCACAATCCCGTCCTCTTTTTATCGAATGTCACCTAACGAATTAGACTTATAACCGGGTTTGTACTTACATGAGCAACACGACGTGTACCACATGTGAATCAGGATCTGCGTACTCTTCCGGGAACACCGGCTACCACCCCTGGTTTTATGGGTTTTTGTGTTGCTTAGTTGTTGATTTTCCATATTGTGTGTTGTATACTGTCGTTGTTTTTATTCGTTTTTGCCATGTTACTGTCAGTTCTTTGTCGACTAATGAGTAGTTTGAATATCTATTTGGTATATTCTGTGTCTTTTTTATTAAGCGAGTAAAAGTCATAATTCGTATGCCATAAAGACTTGGGTCTTTTCATTTGGTATCCTTGGGCCATCACTTGGATATTTAGGTCAAGGACGAGGGTCAAGCTGATTTTCTAAATTGTGAAGTTTCCTGCGTTTGAAGCTTTACCTAAACTTAAAATGATACTTTCTCTGACAAATTTTGGATTAGTAATTTTTTGCTTAGACATCGATGAATATCATATGAAGTGAAAAATGAATACTCCATACGCGAGAGAAGTTGATATATTGCTGTTAGTGTGAGGTAAAATGGTAATTTCAGAATTATAATCGACTAGTTTGTCAAAGACTGTTGTACTGAAATGACTGCTGGAGTTTGATTCGAGGCTTTTGTCTAAAAATGGAACAGAGGAAACTTGTCTGTGGTTTCTTAAATCTCTGGTGGATATAGAAATGGGACCAAATCAGGACTGTGAACGCGAAGGCGTCATCAATATATCTGTATGTGCAATTAAATAATCTACTCATTTGGTCTTTTTGTTTTTATTAATGCCTGAAAGAACTCCGATTTAATGTATGTTTCGCAAAATAATTTATATTAACGATATCAATTTTATTGCACAAGATGCGCAATTTGACAACAAATGTCTCTTCAATGATGCTCGAGATAAGATAAGCACATATCTTCTAAATATATAAAAAGTAGATACAAAATAACCCAAGTGTGCAATTTCTTGACCAAAAGTAGCACATTATTTCCCTTTTTTACATGAAAATCATGTGTATTATTGATCTTAGTAAGATTACAACCTTATAACGCTTGAAGTTATTTAATCTATATCGGCAATTGTTTTTTATTTATTATTTTTTTTTAATAAGTAATTGTATATTTAGGATAAGCATACAGGTACCCAACATATGACTCCGAAGTGACATTGGGTTAGCCGGAAATAGAAAAGAAAATCAAAATCATGGGTATTTGCAATAATTATCCAGAAAGCTAGCATATGAAACTGAAAGCGACCTCTCCTAAACAGGAAGTCGCAATGTATTTCATTTTTTTTTCAGGAAAAAGTATATAGAACCATACAGTTTGGAATCAGTGTTAAGTAACAATTGAAAGTATTTGAAGATAACTTAAATTAATAAGTAAACCGTAGTGGCAACTTATTTCTCTTAATTAATAAAAATAAATATTTCTTTGCTTTTGAAATTATTTTCAAATAAGCTATTTTATGACACTAAAAGTGAATTTAAAAATCAGAAATAGGTATTTTTACCCTTATTTTCTTATCAACAAATGAAATTCAAAGATGGAAAGAATAGTCAATAAAGAATGGTTTTGTTACAGTATTTTTTATAATAAGTGTCACCATGCAATGGCTCGGCCTCCTGACGATGGACATGGCCATGGTCAATTAGTTAATTCTAATTGGTCTAAATAGATGTTCGAAACACCTTGTGATCTATGGAGTTGGGGTGCTGGGATAGGATTTGACAACGATAATTGAAATAATTCAAAGATGGAAAGACTAGTCAATGAAGAATGGTTTTGTTCTATTAATTGCCCCTAAAAATATTTAAATTAATGCATTATTTATTTTAACTTCTTACTGATATTTATAGATTCTTTGGTTTGATGTCGGCAAGTATTTGACCTCGAAAGGGTCAACCAGTTGTGACTTTGACAAATCCGAGAGTAGTAGTATTTGCAATTATATAATGGAAAAGTGCATAGCAACCATATATTTTGGGAATAATTGTAAAGTGGGCTATTTATTGTCACCGCAAGTTAATCTCTGTCAACAGGATGTGGCAGAGTTTATGTCTTATATAATTCACAAACATAAACAAGAAACTATATATTTTTGAAAACAGTATAAAACAATCTTGAAGTGGCATTACATAAACTGGAAGTAAAATTGCAGTACATAAAACATTTAGTTCTTCGGAATGACTGTTAAGTATACAATCATGAGATACCAAAGACGACTTAATGTTGACCGAACTTGGTTTTTATTTTTTGTATACAATAGTATAACAGATTTACATATTTTACATTAGGAAAGGCTAACCTATTTGTCGACACCCGAAGTTACTTTGTTTTTAATATTTTATTCTATTTTCTGTAACAAAAAAAGAATTCCAAGGTATGAAGACCTTCGATTGGCCTTTGAACAATCGGTAACTACTTTTTCTTCTTCTTCCGTTAAATATTGTTTTAAAAATTTAAATTCTTGAATCGAATCATGTTGTTACGGTAATTGCTATATGGAATCGTACAGTTAATGGGCTTTTGCTACTTACCCTGCTTAGCCAAACACTTATCTTTGTAAGAGTTATCTCCTTAAAACTGTTCTTGTGTGTGCATCTCCTCGATATCAAAATAGTTATCGATAAAATATTGTTTTTAAATAGTTCGTTACATCCTAAAAAGGCTTTAGTCAATTTGGACCAAAGCGATTCGGTGACATAAAATATGTATTAACCACTTTTCACAATTTGACTAATCGGAATGCTGGTCAACATTTATATCAAAATAGTAATCGATAAAATATTGTTTTTAAATAGTTCGTTACATCCTAAAAAGGCTTTGGTCAATTTGGACCAAAGCGATTCGGTGACATAAAATATGTATTAACCACTTTTCACAATTTGACTAATCGGAATGCTGGTCAACATCATTTTTCATAAATTAGGGCAATAGTAGTTAACATATGTTCCAACCTCGTAAATCGATTTAAAAAGAGACAAATAAAGGAAAAAAAAAAAAAAAACACTCAATGAATGTTACAATCGGGAATAGGACTAAATCGGTATAATAACGTCCACACGACTAAACTGGTATCTCCAGTATTTGAGATCAGCAAATTCGTGATGTTGACTGAAAATTATGCAGATAATTAAGCCGGAAGTAGTCATTTTCGTCTACTAACCAGATATATTTGGAATCAGCATACAGTAATCCATCATGTGACACAGGATTTGCATTCTGTAAACCGGAACTTACTTCGTATTTGCCTTTTACTAATTTCTATCAGCATTTTTCTAACGACAAATGAACATTCAATTGTGGAAAGACCGGAAATTATTCTCTGAAACAAAAAGGTTAAAATTATTATATTCTCTGCTGACCCCGTAGTATACTTTTTTTTGTATAATGTAGACATTCTATAATTTGAAATTCATTTAATATATATAATTAAGCTTTCATATAAAATCCAATGAGACCAAAATAATAATCAAGTCGTTAAACACCCCCAGAAGAAGTAAACCTTAAAACA